TGATGAAATGTCACTTCAGACATTAGGTTATCAAAAGAATGTGGTTTCCATCCTCATGTTTTCTTGTGTCCTCTAGTTCACTTGCTAATTTCCATGTTATAAGCTGCCCTACAGGGAAGCCTACTTGGCAAGAAACCAATGGACTCAAGTGCAACAGCAAGAATAATGGAGGGCCACGTGAGGATCTTCCCCCAGTTGAGCTTTCATATGAGACTGCAGCTCTGGCTGACAGCCTGACTGCAACCTCATGAGAGACCTTAGTCTAGGCATGGAGCCCCTTCCAGATTCTTGGCTGATAAAGTGATGAGCTGTTAAGTGTGTACTGTTTTAAGCTGCTTTGAGTGTAATTTGTAATGCAGGAAAAGGTAACTAGAGTCCTGATTCCAATGATTCTCAATGAAAAATAGAATAAAGAAATGTGAAGAAATAATGCACATAAATGTGTTATATATGTTCTTCTATGAGAAGGAAAACACCACCACCTAGTAAAATTAATGACCCTAATGATGCTTTTAATAATCACCAGACTATTTAAATATAGATATTATGAAAAATACAATCAAATGTGCATGCCAAAACACAAATGTAATCATGCCGCCACTCTTCTTAAAAGGGAAGTCTACTCCAAAGTTCTCAGAATAGCATCCAAACTCTTTAACATGGTCTAAAATGCCCTGTTATGATATGGTTCCTACTAAACTGTCTGGACTTATCTTTAACCAAACCTTCTATCATCCTCCACGCATCAACTTCAGTGAGATTTCCTGTGTAAATGTCCTAATTTCTGCACAACCTTCAGGGTTCAGTTTCACAGCCTCTGAGAAACGTCCCTAACCCCCAGACTCCCACTCCTACTCTGACCAACACCTATCTGCCTTAGATGTTCCTCTTCTGTGTTTCCTCTATGGTACCCCGTAGCATCCTTTCATTACATTTATAAAACTGCATATGTAACAGAAAGTAAAACAGATTGTGATTTATACTAGAAAGTTAACTATAGGGGCGGCTGGTGGCTCAGTCGTTAAGCATCTGCCTTCAGCTCAGGTCATGATCCCAGGGTCCTGGGATCGAGCCCCACATCAGGCTCCCTGCTCTGTGGGAAGCCTGCTTCTCCCTCTTCCACTCCCCCTGCTGTGCTCCCTCTCTAGCTGTGTCTCCCTCTGTCAAATAAATAAATGAAATCTTAAAAAAAAAAGTTAACTATATATTTCCAATTTTGAGACAGTGGAGTAAATATCTCTCTACCCCTTCCTCTCTTAAACTTCCATAAAATAAGAAAGGCAATAAGAAAATAAAAGGAAACCCTATCGTTGGTAAAATCAGAAACACTTAAGAGTAATATATATGAAGAAGGGCCACCAAGAGTAGTGAAAATTCAACCAGTATTAGAGATGTCATGGAGACAAGACACCTTAAGATGCAGATTTCAGAGAGAGACTGCCAGGTGCAAAATTCCTAAAAATAGGTGGCATACTTAGAAGAAAAAACAGCAATGCCATCCTTGCTCAGAATAATATTGGAGAGCAAAACTCAACTGTGGCAGATTTCCTGAACTGTATGTCAGAGTGGCAGGGGACATTGGACTAAACGAGGAAATGCACAGGAATGCTATCTTTGCTATAGATCTCTAAGAGTGTTAAAGCAATAAGCAGTCCTAGAGCTGCCAATTACTATCAAAACAAAACAAAAGCTAAACCAGTTCACATACATAGAGATACGTACACATTATGTGTGGGGCTATACTTTGAGCCAAGAAGACTTCCTAACAGCCCCAGAGCACTCCTTTCGCTGTTCCCCAACACTGTCTTTTTACAGCACCCCATTCCAAAACCCTAGAAATTTCCTCAGAGTGGTAAATGTCTTTTGGCATGCTAATGGAGCTGGCTACCAGGAGAACCAATCATGTGATTAGAAGGTTGGGACTTTAAGCTCCACCCCATCCACCTCCAACATCCCTGGAGGGGAGAGAGGATGGAAGTTGAAGTAATCACTAATGGTCAAAGATTTAATCAATCATACCTAGCTAAGGAAGCCTCTATAAAAATCCCTGAACCTATAGAATTCAGAGATTTTCTGGGTTGCTGAACACATGGCCATACTAGGGGGATGGCCTGCCAGTCCCATCTTTTGCACTATGCATCTCTTCCACCTGGCTGTTTCTGAGTTTTATCCTTTTATAATAAGCCAGTAATGTAATAAATAAGCCATTTTCCAGAGTTCTCGAGGAGTTCTAGCAAACGACTGATCTTGGGGAGGAGGTCCTAGGAATCTCTGATTTGTAGCCAAGTTGGACAGAAGTTGTGGGTAAACTGGGGACATAACACTTGCGATTGATATCTACAGTTTGGATGGGGGTGGGAAGGGAGACAGTCTTGTGGGACTGAGCCCTTAACCTGTAGGATATGACACTATCACCAGATAAGTAGTTTTAGAATTGAATTAAATTATAGGACATCTAGCTGCTCTGATATTGCTTGGCATGGAAAACCCACACATTTGGTGACCAGAAGTATTGAGTATTGAGTAGACAGAAAACAGAGTACTATTTTTCCTTTCCAATCTCCATGCCATATAATCTTCTCAGTTCATCTAATAAATATAGCAGAAATGTGATAACAATACCTGCAAATTATAACACAGGAAAGAAAATTACATCTAATCAAGCATATAAAAGTGGATATAAATATCCTATATAAAATACTGATACAATTTACTAATAAATCAAAAGAATAACAATGGCTCAGTTAGAGATATTTCTAGCACAAAATGATGGTTTAATATTAGTATATCTCCTCTGCTCCTCCTAGATCAACAGACAGCTCCATCTTCTTGTGTAGTGCTAGCCACATCACCAAGACACAATGGTGAAGGTCATATTGGGTGCCTGGTCACCAAGGCTGCTTTTGACTCTGGCAAAGTGTACATTGTTGCCATCAATGACCCCTTCATTGACATCAACTACACAATCTACTTGTTCCAGTATGATTCCACCCATGGCAAATTCAATGGCACAGTCAAGGCTGAAAATGTGAAACTTGTCAGCAATGGAAAAAAAGCCCTTCTCTATCTTCCAAGAGAGAGATCCTGCCAACATCAAATGAGGTGATGTTGGTGCTGAATACATTGAGGAATCCCCTGGTGTCTTCACTACTATGGAGAAGGCTGGGGCTTAAAGGGCAGAGCCAAGAGGGTCATCTTTTCTGCTGATGCCCCCATGTTTGTGATTGGCATGAACCATGAGAAATATGACAAGTCCCTCAAGATTGTCAGCAATGCCTCCTGCACCACCAACTGCGTGGCTAAAGCAAATTGTCAGCACTGATACACCAGCTTCCCTAGTAACTAGAGATATACACAGTAATATCAGGAAGAAAACAAAGATGAATGGAAATACCTGTCCGATAGAAGATACAGGCCTTTACAAAGCCAGCCTTTCACATACTTGTCTCTTTGAGGACTTTCCCCTATCAGTGATGGGCTAGGGTGAAGCAAGAGAGGCCTCTCCAGTGTACAATTTAAGGATGCCCTCTTGGGGTTGTAAAAGTGCAGGGTTGGCACCTGCATGGCCCTGCTAGTAAGCACCTCTTCAACTTTTGTGCCTTAAGAGTCTCACTTATCTCACCTTAGTCCTAGCCTGGCACAAATTCCCTCTCTTGCATATTCTGCTAGCTCTTTCCTACGGGCAGGCTCACTCCTGCCATTTGCAGAAAGCCAGCCCATCGCTAGGACCTTTGATTTCTTAAGGAAGAAATTAAATAGCAGTCCCCTGGCATCCACATGTTTCTGAGTTTTCCAACTTCTCCAACTGACCAAAACCTACTGCAACCCTCCCAGACTTTTATTGCGGTTTCCAAAGAAATCAACCTTACAAATACCCAACAATTAATTTTCAAAGACCAGATCCTCTTATGTACCCAGCATACGTGAGAAATTTAAAAGTTAGAAAAATCAGTTTTCAGATATTTCTTATAATATGTGTAACTTTAGGGTCTCAGGCAAAAATCTTATTTTAATAATTTATTGTGCAATTGTTCTCTCTAGTTCAAAGAATTTTAAGAGTAAAATAAGATAAGGTATGTGAAAAAAAACTAAAACAATTACATAAATGGCAACTGTTTTTAGTTGCTATTTCTTTTTTATCTAAACATACTATAAGTCGATGGTCACTTACATGTTATTAGAATGGGGCATATTACAAGAGGGGAAAAAAACTATATTATTTGAAGTTATATGAAAACTTACACATAGAGCTTTGGTAAAGTTGACTGAATAGTGTTGCAATAGCTTGACTTTGCATAAATCTACAAAAGACATCATCCTATGATGTAAATCCAGGTGCTTTCTATGTGTTCAAAGAAACAAAAGCTGATAGTAAGCAGTCCATTTTAATTATGTTCCATGATATTTTCTCCTTTGAGAGGCAAGTTCTTACTATTGATCATATTTCTCAAAATACATCTGAGGCTTATCATACTTTAAATCTTCATCTGTGGAATCATTTTACAGATAAATCCATCTCAAAATGAGATAATTTTACCAAAACTATTTTGCATAGAATCAGAGAGGCCTACTGAACACATAAATAATCTAATTTATAGTCAAAAGTACAATATATTTAAAAATATGACAACAATAAATTTTAAGGTAAATAGAATCATATGTCTCTATCTTATCAATAAATTTCTATCTAAAATATCACTGAGAGGGCGCCTGGGTGGCTCAGTTGGTTAAGCTACTGCCTTTGGCTCAGGTCATGATCCTGGAGTCCCGGGATCGAGTCCCACATTGGGCTCCCTGCTCAGCGGGGGGCCTGCTTCTCTCTCTGACCCTCTTCCCTCTCGCGCTCTCTGTCTCTCATTCTCTCGCTCTCAAATAAATAAATAAAACCTTAAAAAAAATAAAATAAAATATCACTGAGTTCTAGCAAGTATTCCTAAGTATGGTAATGATCAACATCTATTAAGTAACCTTTTTGAGATTATCACTAGTAGAATACTCACCTAATTGCATCGTTGGTCTCTGAAACAGCTTTCAGGTACTCCTTCAAATAAAAATAATTAAAGCAGTATTTCCGAATCCTATAGCCTCGCCATCGCCTCTGAATCTATTGAAGTAAATTAAAAGATAAAATATACCAGTGAGCATTTTTAGTGAAAACATTAACAGTTCTTCAAAATTAAGGTAATGATGGATGATAACTCACATCAAATAAAGTTTTTGGCTTTCCCACTAACAGTATATATAGTTGCAAATGTAGAGTGTACTTAGATTATAAAATATTATAAAAACAAAACATATTTAGAGGTTATTAGATTTTAAAAAATTTATAATTTTTCACAAACACTAAATGTGAAATTAACTACTGAACAATTAAAAATTTGTTTTATCAATCTCTACCACTTCAACTTCCTGACCAAACGATTTTTTATTTTTCATAAACCACTGACTTGAAGATTGTATTTGGTCTCATTAAAATCAATTTTCAAATGGGCTTTTAAAATTTGATGGTTTCAAAATCTTTAAACAAAATGTTATCTTATATCTTCATCATGATATTTTAATACTTCTTTAATAACAATAGCTAACATTTATTGTTTTATTATGTGTGAGGTAGATGTATTGCAGTTTGCATGTATTTATGCATTTAATCTTTAGAATACCCCTATGAGAAATATTCTTTTTTTTTTTTTAAGATTTTATTTATTTATTTGGCAGAAAGAGACACAGCGAGAGAGGGAACACAAGCAGGGGGAGTGGGAGAGGGAAAAGCAG